AGATGCACCGATGCGAGTCGTGTACGTTGAAGTCTGCACCCCTCCCCCTAGGAGGTGAGAGAGTCGGTCAGTGTCTGCCAGACAGCCAAGGGCCGCCGCCAGTTCCTGATGACCTGAGCACCCAAGACCGCAGAGATAGAACCCGATCTCAAGTTCAAGCCAAGGCGCTCCGGGAGCACTCCGTCAGGAAGTGTCTCTGGCCAAGCCAAGCTCCTTGAGGATAACCCGCCCCGGTCAGTCGGAGCGCTGGGCTATGCGCTGGCCCAGGATCAGGCGATGGAGACACCTCCCAGCGAGGCTGCTGCAAGGCCAGCGCACGAAGTTTGGGGCAGGAGGGAGGGGGCCACGTTGGAGAGACACACAGACACAGAAAGACGGAGACAGCGAGACTGAGAGACACACAGAGAGACAGCTACCCAGAGCCCAGGACCCACCAGAGTGCGAGAGGCCGAGACCCGGAGAGGCTGGGGTGGAGAGGGCGGGAGGGAAACGCAAACTAGAGAAGACCAGTCAGGTAGGGAGGCCGGGCCTCCAGCCCTCAAGTCCCCTCGGAGGAGCTGAAGGTGATGGGAAGAGGATGCGCTCTGGGCCCACACCCCGGGGCCTTCCAACGTGGGTATGCGGCCCTAGGAGTCCGGGCCCACATCCCCTCGCACCAGCCCCACCGCCCGCGGCCTCTGCCGGCCTCCGGACCATCTCCTCCTGGCTCTCCGGGTCCCTGCGAGTCGCCGCGTGGCCTCTGTAGGGCTCTCTGGCCCGAGGGCCCGGCGGCCGCTGCCCAGCGCTTCCAGCCGCAGCGTCTTGTTCTCAAAAGCGTCCTCCACGCAGCGGAAGACCCGGCCGAGCCTGGGGAGCGCGGGCTGCCTGCACGCTTGTGGCCATGGCGGGAGCGGGGAATGGATGGTGGTCCCAGAGCCTTCTGATGAGGGATGTGGGCGCTGCGTGTGGACTGGGCGGAACTGGCTTGGGTGCTCATCTATCTTCTATTACATCCCACCCACCCCTATCGCCCTACCCTCAGGCGGCCC